TTTTCTGAATCTTGAAATTTTAAAAAATAACGAAACAGTCACTAACATTATTATTTATACCAAATCGGCTATTTGATTGTTAAACCTTTGTTATCCAAATAATGAAAATTGACGTGGCATATTAAGTTAGTTTACTTAACATTGTTTAATCACGTGAGACAAGTGTTGACCAACTTTTGACACCAATAAAAAAATTCTCTTTAAAAAGGAGACACAATCCTTAAATAAACCATGCTTAGTAGACATGCACACAAAGTCGGATAAAAAATATCCGGAACTGACAAAATTGATTCAGTTTTTTCACATAGCCAAAAAACTCGGTTCGGATCTTAATCGGTTTGGAGGATCGGATAGTGTAATCGTGTAACCGGTTTTGGTTTTTAAAAAACAGGTTTTTTTAAAAAATCAGATATAAAAAAATCGGTGGTGGTGTGCATCACTACTTCAAGGTTTCTCCCGACGGAAGATTCAGCCGTGTTAGGGCGGTATTGTAGCCATGATGAACAAAAAATTACAAAAATAAGATTTGAGAGATGTTTAAGTGTTGTGTAATAAGATTTTAGAAAGTTGTAATCAATCAAATACATCCCCAACTTATTTATACATGTTTATGGTGGTAAAAATGATATTTTTAAAGAAAAAATGGTCAAAAAGATCACAAAAACCCCTAACGACTATAACGGTTAGTTTTTAAAATCTCATACCAGATTTTTTCCAGAAAAAAAAACCGGTTTATTTTGTTTTTTTCAAACCGGTTTTTAATCCGGTAAAAAAATCGATCGTCTAATTTTTTCCAAACCGGTTATTATCCTATTTTTAAATATTCGATCCGATTTAAAAAAAACCGATTTTTCCAAATCCAATTTAAAATATTTTTGGCACAAATCGATATTCGGTTTGTCCCAAACACGTTTCTATTTGCAGAGGTGGGCGAGTGGAGGGCCTGAACCAAAGTTCATATCCTCTCCCTACACTCAAAGCAATATCAATTTGCTTTGTATTAGTCAAGAGAAAATGTTAATTTTTAATGATTGGTGACCGGCCTGAACCAAAGTTCATATCCTCTCCCTACACTCAAAGCAATATCAATTTGCTTTGTATTAGTCAAGAGAAAATGTTAAATTTTTATGATTGGTGACCAAAATAAGAAAAGATAATATTAGTGATGTTTTTACTAAAAATTGCTTTTACCAAAATAAAGGAAACATAGATTGAGAATTTACGATGTATTTTGTCCTATTATATATATCACGTGATATATGATATATGTAACTTTAATAAAAAGATATATGATATGCTGTTACTAATCATTAATTGATTTCATGGGTAGTCACGCAAAGCATAGGTGATCGTCTCCGTCGGTGAACCACAAAAACAACAACCCTTGTACCGCCAATATAAGAGAATCGACAACTAACAAAAAGTGCCTCATGAGCAGCCCTCTAGCCAAACATCCGCACCTGTGGGAGAGTGGTAAACATGAGAGATAGAGCCACAACCGAGAAACATGAACATCAGTGGAATACGCCTCATAATCCATTTATAACTAAAGCGAACTGAGTAGTTCCCTGAGGAATGACCGCTCCAAATTAGCTCATCCGTTGAACCGAGGAGATAGGACAATTTAATATTTCATGGGTATCAACATGCGTGAACTCTCTCTCAACAAGCTCACATTCCATCTTAGGGTAACAGGAATCATGAAATCCCCGCAAAGGATCGGTCTATTGTCCCATCAACATATGAAGGTCAGCTTAACTGGATGAGATCACCCAATGGACACGATGTATCGGCACGACACTATTTAGCCCAACACGCCAATGGAAGCCAGACTAAACTCCTGAACAGCAGTAAATAAATTCGCCAAGCAAACGAAGGTTGGTCACCAAACAATGCCTGAAGGATATGTCCTGTAGAGTAGTATTTTGAACTGAGAACGAGATCCACAAACAAGAAGGGTGTTGAATGAGCCGCCAATCTGCTTGCCCATCATCATAATATTAACTGTCAGAAATCATGAAAACGAAGCCAACCTCGATCACAACCACCATAAGAGATTAAGTTTCTTGGTCTAGCTACGAACTCACGAAGACACCTTATCGCGAAGAAACCTAAAGGCTTGATTTTTATTACTACCAAGAATACGAGACATACCAAGATACATACCCGGATCAGAGACACAAGAGACTCCCACCGTAGAACTTATTCTCGTTTTAGTAGTATCGGTGTCGAATGAGAAAAATAAAGGCTGGACTTAGCATAATTGACCTTCTGACCAGAAAGCGTCTCATACTCTCATATAAGGCAAGTGTGCCCCGTATTTGGGCAAATTCAGAGTTTGAATTGCGCAAGAAGAGGAGGCAGTCATCAGCATATAAAGATGGGTGATACGGGGAATCGGCAGTGATGTTGTTCATGATACAACAAGAAGACGTCCTTGAACACATAGGACATGGTATTAAATTGCGGCCGCAATGCAGTGTAACGGCCGCAGTTTTGAAGGTCACCGCAACGTAATATTAACGCAACTGCCCGCGACAGCTGCAACACGTTAAAAAATCACACCCGCGACAGCCGCAACATTTTACGTAACGTCCGCAGCATCCGCAACCGCGACACCGCAACTGCGACAGATACAGCAACCGCGACACCGCAACTGCGACAGATGCCGCAACCGCTGTTTTATACTATGCATAGGACAAATAAAAATGGTGATAAATGGTCACTCTGACGAAGCCCGCGGAAAGGACTAAAACCTCCAGACAGACAACCATTAATGCGGACTTGTTATGAAATTGTGGAAACGCGCGACATTACCAGAGAGACCCACTGAGCATCAAATCTGAATCGAAGAGGCATAGCCTCAAGAAATGGCCACTCAATCCTATCGTAAGTTTTTTCCATATCAAGCTTTAAAGCAACACTCCACAGAGAAGTAGGATCGCCATGTTTTAAATAATTGAAAATTTCATGGGCAATGAGAACATTGTCAGTAATTAGCCTGTCGGAAACAAAAGTGCCTTAGTTGTCATTAATGCAGTCATATAATAAAGGGCGAAGGAGATTAACTAGTACTTTAGCAACAATTTTATAAATTATAGTGCATAAAGCAATAGGGAAAAATTGTGACATCAACTCCGGTTTTGTTATTTTAGGAATAAGCACCAATATAGTGCGGTTTACAGTGACCAAAGATTCACGACCCGTAAGAAGATCGAAGCAAAGTTTAATTATATTATCAACTATCAGAGGCCAAAATGATCGATAGAAACTCTCAGGTAAGCCATCTATTCCCCAGTGCTTTGTGAGGATGAATTTGTAGAAAAGCAGTGCAGATTTCATCAACAGTATATGGGGTAGTAAGTTTAGCGTTCATATCATCCTTTACCACCGGTACAACTGTGGAAGTAAGTTTATCCGGTGAAGGAGTGCATGATGTAAAAAGCGTTGAGAAATAAGTCACCGCCGTAGCATGGATATCTTCAATGTCATTGACCCATGCACCGAAATCCGTATAAAGTCCCTGAACTGTATTCCGCTTGCGTTGAACAGAAGACCGAGCATGAAAATACTTGGTATTCTTATCTCCATAGGCAAGCCACTGAACACGTCAGCGTTGACGCCAATAATGTTCTTCGGAAGTGAGGCGCCCATGAAAATCCTGCTTGAGACTACCAAATTATTGAAGATCTGCATTAGTCATTGGGCCCCGCAGGTGTCTATTGATTTGCTCTCTAATATCAACAATGAGCCCCTTATTAATTAGAAACAAATCGAGCATGTTTCCATTCAAGCAACACAGAGCCAACTCCAAGTTTTGACAACGTGGAAGCGTCATCTATAGACCAATTGTCTCTCACTTTAGCCACACAAACAAGATCTTTACCCCAGCATTCATCATATTTGAAATAATAACGTTGAGTAGGACTAGCAGTAGTCGGTTGTGGAGATGTATCAATAAGAATGACACTGTCCGAAGCTGAAACCAAGTCACTGGTAACCGAGCCTAATGGGCACAAAGCACGCCAATCAGACGTGGATACAAAGCGGTCAAGACGTTCATAAATCTGAGAGGAAGAGGAAGAGCTTTTACGCCAAGTGAACCACCCACGGATAGGTCGCATGTCCTATAGATCATTGTGGTGGAGGATATCCCGAAAAGCCTGTATATCAGCACGAGACCGTCAATGATCACCGACTTTTCCTAATCAAGCAGAATCTCATTGAAATCCCCGCCAATTAGCCAATGCAAAGAAGAGTGAGATCAAAGACGATCAAGCAAAGCCCATGTATCACAATGACGACGACGATCACTACAACCATGAAGACCAGTAAACCAGAAGGTTCAAGAATAACACTAATCAGGAACAAATAGAACTACTAGATACAAATAAACAACCCTCCATATCCAAACAACGCCTCACCAATTCTATAAGCGGTCGTTTTAAAAGTGTTTCATAGAGGAAAACCAGAGTAGGTTTTGTTTTTCTTTGCTACTTGTCAGATGCATTCTGGTTTTAATAGCACTACTCTTGTGCTTGTTCCTAAAGGAGAGAATCCTTCTTATATGAGGGAGTTTAGACCCATATCCTGTTGTAGTGTAATATACAAATGCATCACTAAGATCATCACAAGGAGGATGGCTAAGCATTTACAGTAGGTGATAACTTGGAGTCAGAGTGCTTTTGTGAAGGGGAGAAGTATCTCCGATAACACTCTTGTGGCACAAGAGCTTGTTAAGGGGTGTGGTAGAAATACCCTTTCTCCTCGGTGTGATTTGAAGATTGATATTTAGAAAGCTTTTGACTCGGTCAGCTAGGGGTTTATCTCTATTATTTGCAAGCTTTGGGGATTCCCTGGGTCACTCATAATTGGATTATGAGCTGTATTACTCAGCCCAGATTCTCGATAGCTTTGAATGGGGGTTGGTTGGCTATTTTGAAGGGGCTAAGGGGACCAGGAAAGGAGATCCTCTCTCCCCTATTTTGTTTGTGCTAGTAATGAATGTGCTTTCGTATATGTTGGATGTTGCTGCTAGTCATAGGCTGTTTCAATTTCATCAGAAGTGTCATCGTGTCAAGTTTACACACTTGTGTTTTGTTGATGATATTCTAATCTTATCCAAAGGTAACTATGATTCTATTATGGACATTTGGACTGTGTTGCATGAATTTTATGTTTATTCAGGGCTTGTTTTTAATGCATCTAAGTTTGAAGTTTTTTCTACTGGAATTGCTAGGGAGGAATTGCAGCTTATCGTGGAAGAGACAGACATAAAGGTGGGTCATCTCCCTGTAAGGTATTTAGGCATTCCTCTTATCACTAGGAAGCTTTCGATTGCTGATTGCAAGCCGTTGATGGACAAGATTAAGGATAGGTTTCAGACTTGGGTTGCTCGGAATTTGTCTTATGCAGGCAGAATGCAGCTTATTCAAGCTATTATTTTCAACATTCAAAATTATTGGAGCAGGCAATTGGTGCTGCCGAAGAAGGTGGTGCAACAAATTAGTCAGCTCTGTACTCGGTTCTTTTGGAAGAATTGCAATTCTTCTGCCAAGGGGGCTCGGGTTAGTGGGAGTGCTATCTGTTGTCCTAAGTCGGAATGAGGCCTAGGGGTCAAGGATTTTGAGGCATGTAACAGTGCTTGTTTGATGCAGCTCATTCGGAAAATTTTAATGAAGTATCGATCTTTATGGGTGGCTTGGAACTATAAGTATGTGATGAGGGGTAGTGATTTATGGTTGGTTAGGCCTAAAGTGGGATGAAGTTGGATTTGGAAGAGGCTTGTGAAGCTTAGGGCCAGTATTCCAAACGACATTCTTTCTGATTCTGACAGTATTTGGGGTGCTGTTAGGAATAGGGGGAGAAGATTCCTTGGCATAAGGTGGTGTGGTTTGGTCTTCATATCCCTCGGCATTCAGTGATATCTTGGATGGCCATTTTGAATAGACTGTCTACTAGAGATAGACTTGTTTCTTTTGGTATTCGGGTTGAGGAAGTGTGTGTCATGTGTGGAGCTGATCAGGAGACTAGGAATCATGTGTTCCTTGATTGCCCTTCCTCAAGGGAGGTTTGGACTTTGATCTTGAGAGCTTGTGGCCTTGAAAGGCAGGTGGTGGACTGGGAGTTTGAACTGAGTTGGGTGATTCATCGATTTAAAGTTAAATCTCTTCTTTCTGTGTTGTTGAAATTGGCTTGGAATACAATGAATTATTTTATCTGGAGAGAAAAGAACCGTAGAATATTCCAGGGGAAACAAGGTTCTATGCTGGGGGCTGTTGCCCAAGTGCGGGATGTTCGTTGGAGGCTGTTTGGCAAAAACATTAAGGTGGTGTTTGGTTTATTAGAATATTTACGAGGAAATTAAAATTCGTGAAGGAATTGAAATTTGTCAAGAATTGAAATCTAATTTCATATTCTGTTTGATTGGCAGGAAATGAAATTGGAATCAATTACATATTCTGTTTGGTTCGCAGACATGTCAGATGAATTTGATTTCAGTAATGTAAAAGGACAGAATTGCCCTTCTTATTTTTTTTTGCTTTATTTTAGTTTGTTTTACAACTTACATGTAATAATATATTAAAAAAATTAAAAAAATATTAAAATTTTATTTTATTTATTGATTATTCATTTCAATAAATTATAAAAATCATGCTAATAAACATCATAAGTTAAAATCATCGCAATCAAAATATGTTAATAAGTTACCAAAAGATAGAACAATATTTCGATACATTCCAATCGGAGTATGTTAATTAGTTACCAAAAAATATACCAAAATCTATTTTTATTTAATATATGAATTAGAAACCCGACCCTACACGTCACAAAAATAATAAAAAAAATATTTTTATTCAATAAAAACATTGACTTAATTGAAAAAAATTATATATAGAGGGGTATTATTGTAATTATTCCTAAATATATAAGGTAAAATTATATATTTTTTCGGGTCGGCCCAATTTTTTTCACCCTAAACCTGAACCCGACCCGAACAAAATAAAGTTTCACCCGACCCGACCCGAATATATGAATTAGAAATCCGACCCGACCCGAAATAATAAAAAATTATTTTTATTCAATAAAAACAGTGACTTAATTGAAAAATATATATATATATATATATAGGGGTATTATTATATTTAATCCTAAATATATAAGGTAAAAATATATATATTTTCGGGTCGGGTATTTTTCACCCTAAACCCGAACTCGACCCGACCCGAATATCACACTTAAAAGAACCGATCTGACCCGACCAAAATAAAGTTCACCCGACCCGACCCGAATATATGAATTAGAAACCCGACCCGACCCAAATAATAAAAAAAAATTATTCAATATATGAATAATAAACATCATAAGTTAAAATCATCGCAATCAAAATATGTTAATAAGTTACCAAAAGATAGAACAATATTTCGATACATTCCAATCGGAGTATGTTAATGTGGGATTCTGGGTCGTTGGGGTGTGATTTTGTTTGGTTTTGAGTGTTGTTTATTGATAGCTTGAGCTACTTTCTGGATAAATAAAATTCTGCATTTATCCAAAAAAAAAAAAATTCTTCATTTGGACCGTTCCAAAAGTGTCTGACCTTTGACTTTTATGTATTAATCATTTTAGTCAAATTCTTCCAATTGAACGCGGTTTTGAGCAGAAATACATTAATCTAATTATCGACTCTATCCTTCATTTTAACAACACTCAATCGCATTATTATTTCCTTTTACATGTTATGATCTCAAAAGGTCAAACAAAAAACACAACACCAAAAAGTCAAGGAAAACAAACTCGGTTGCTTTCTACTTTTTTTAATTGCAAGTTGGCTACTACTCGGTTCCTTCGTTTAATCAAAAATGTCAAACGTTGAATTCTCCTCCTTTCTCTGCATTTTCTGCATATTTTTTAAATACATTAAACTCACATGCTCAGTCAATAAGATTCATATATAAAAGGCACATATACAATCGCTATAAGGCAGCAAACAAGCTTGATTTCAGAAACTAACAATCACCCAATTTTTTTCTTAGACTCGGTTAATTCAATTCTTTTCTTTCCCCTTCAGCTCTTGACTATTCATACCAAAGTTACTTAGCGACATGGTTTCTGCTTCAAAAAGCAGAAGCGAGGCAATCGCGCTTCTGTTTTTAACAGTGATTATAGCTTTGTTAAATAGCTTGCAGTGTGGAGGCCAGAATTCGTCGGTATAAATGGGAGGTGAAGAACGAATACAAGGCCCCTGATTGCTTCAGGAAAATGGTAATAACCATCAATGGTCAAACACCAGGTCCTACAATCAGGGCGCAGCAACATGATACCATCATCGTTGAAGTCACTAACAATCTGTTCACAGAGAATCTTGCTATTCACTGGCATGGAATTCGACAGGTTTGTTTATTTACTATAATCTTCATATTACCCAATTCACCTCGACATTTCTAAAACCTCTGTTTCTTGATTGTTTTCAGATTGGAACACCCTGGTTTGATGGCACTGAAGGAGTGACTCAGTGTCCGATCTTGCCTGGAACCACTTTCACATATCGGTTTGTTGTCGACAGAGTAAGCTTCTGCAATTCAAAAAGCTGTTGAATGTTTTTCCGTACAGAACTATAAACTGACACTTCTTTTCAATAATATAGCCCGGAACATACCTGTATCATGCACATTATGGAATGCAAAGAGACTCTGGGTTATATGGATCAATCATTGTGGGACTTCCTGATGGAGAATCCGAACCTTTTACGTACGATTATGATAGGAACATCATCCTCAATGATTGGTACCATGCCACCACTACCGATCAAGCGGTCGGCTTGGATTCCGTTCCTTTCCGATGGGTCGGAGAGCCTCAGGTGAATACCACAGAGAAACTGGTTCAACCCTTTTGTTTTTACAACCATCTATTTACATGAGTTTTTGAAATTTTCAGTCACTTTTGATCCATGGGAGAGGAAGGTTCAACTGTTCTAGTATACCTATTCCAAGTTCAGACCCTGGCCTTTGCAATGCCTCGTATTCAGACTGTTCTCCTTATAGAATGATAGTAGTCCCCGGAAAAACATATCGATTGAGAATCTCCAGTTTGACTTCTTTGTCAGCTCTCAGCTTCCAAATTCAGGTAATTAAATTAATTCTCTTGCAATTTTTTTGTAATAAGATTATAATTTGCTTCGGATTTTCACTGTTCTGCAATTGATTTTATATGCAGGGCCATAATTTGACAGTTGTTGAGGCCGATGGGCATTTCGTGGAGCCATTTGTTGTACAAAACTTGTTCATATACTCCGGAGAAACATACTCTGTTCTGGTAACAGCCGATCAAGATCCCACCAGAAATTATTGGATTACATCAAACATTGTAAGTCGGCCGGCACCCAACACTCCTCCAGGTCTGGGCGTTTTCGTGTACTATCCAAATCATCTAAGGAGATCTCCTCCGACAACCCCTCCGGCAGCCCCTGTTTGGAACAACAGCCGCCCTCGGATGGAGCAGAGTCAGGCCATTAAAGCTCGACAAGGCTACATCATCACCCCTCCGCCTGTCTCGGACAGGGTCATAGTTTTACTCAACACACAAAACGAGATTAACGGAAGAAGACGGTGGTCGGTTAACAATGTCTCCTTCACACATCCCAAAACGCCTTACTTGATTGCACTCAGGGAGAATTTAACCGATGCTTTCGATCAAAATCTACCGCCTAACGGATACGATGAGGTGAACTATGATATACGCATCGTCCAACCGAATAAAAACGCAACTTCCAGCAATGGGATATACAGGCGCATCGTCCAACCGAATAAAAACGCAACTTCCAGCAATGGGATATACAGGCTGGATTTCAACACGACCGTGGATCTTATACTTCAGAATGCCAACACCATGAATCCGAACAACAGCGAGACGCATCCATGGCATCTCCATGGACATGATTTCTGGGTTTTAGGGTACGGGGAAGGGAAGTTTGATAAGTTCAATGATCCCAGGAAGTACAACTTGGTGAATCCGATAATGAAGAACACGGTGCCTGTACATCCTTACGGATGGACGGCTTTGAGGTTTAGGGCAGATAATCCGGGGGCATGGGCTTTCCATTGCCATATAGAATCCCATTTTTTCATGGGAATGGGTGTGGTATTTGCAGAAGGGATTGACAAGTTGGGGAAGTTACCGTCTTCAATCATGGGGTGTGGTCAAACTCAAGGTCTTTACAGGCCCTGATCTGGGGATTTATGTATTCTTTTTTACTCATGTTGCAGATTTATCCCAAATTTGTTTCAAAAATGTAACATTTAGTTGATTGTATAAAACAAGATATGAGGTCATCTTGTGTCCGGCCGAAGGATTAAGTTTAATTACTTAAATATGATCAAATCAATTTATAAAATTCTTCATACATCAGCTAATTCTGTAAGCTAAATTCATTTTGAAAATTGTGAACAAGCGTAGTGTTATTTGCAAGGAGTATTTCCAATCAATTTCATTTTATCTTAGTCTTTCCTTTTTTTAATTTAAACAAATGGATCCTGGAGTTAAATTTTCAAATTAAGCTGAAAATGATTGGGTTTAGGAAATGAAAATTAAAAAAATAAACATATTAACACTCTGAAGTATGGATTCTTCTCATTTGTACATGAAATGCAACAGTCCACAAAGACTGTATCCCATTCCTCCGTCTTATTTACAACGACTTAGTGACTCGTCATCCAAACAATCCCTTTTTTAATAAAAACGGATTTAATAAACATTGAGTCATATGACTAAACGGAGATTAACAACAAGAAAAAGAAGACAAACCTGCACTTCAGAGTCACACACCAGATCGACCTTTCAAAGGCCATGGTGATCTTCAATCTCCAGTATATGATGAGGCGGCTTGACATGATTGACCTTGTTCATCCACGATTCACAAGAATCGACTATTCCCGGCACTGTTGGCGTCTGATGACTCTGATCTTCACCACTTAATATCGAATCACTCATCGCTCCTGACCCTGTTGGCATCTGATGACTCTGATCTTCAGCACCTAACATCGAATCACTCGTCGCTCCAGACACCATCGGTGTATGATGACTCTGATCTTCACCACCCAACGTCGAATCAGTCGTTGTCGCCATTGGATAAACATGAGGAAAGGGCAGGTAAAGGCTATGCACTATAACGTTCAAATTCCTCATCATATCAACAACCTTGATGCTAACATAATTGATCCTCATTTGCTTCCTTATAATCCCTCCTTCAGTCGTCACCACCAAACTCTGATCTCTATCCAACGTTGTCAATGTTGTTCCAACCGGAAGTCTCTCCAGATCAGCAATAGTCAAAAGCTAGTTTGGTAGTGTTGCGGAATACGGCTATCG